AGATGGATTATTTTCTTGCACAAAAGAGGAAGCAGTAATTTTTCAAAGAAATACACGACTTTATTCTAGTTCCTCTGTTAAGACTGCATAATATGAACAGCTTCTGGAAGTTCCTTGGACAATAATAAAGCTCATCGTGGCCCTTATCCTTGCTCCTCCTCTCATCTTTTCCTAAAGCAACTGGACATAGGGTGACGCCAGGGAGGGGAAAGCAACAGATTTATGGGAAATGCGATTTAATTTTGGGAAACTCAAAATGCTACACACAACACCTTTTAAGGCAGACCAGTGGCTAGAAAAAGTCCTTTTAAAATACTACCTTACCCCCACAGCACTACCACAAAAACTCATTCACTATCTCTCAGTTGTGCATGGCTGCAGTGACCACAGGCCAGCCTTCTTAGCATTACTCACCATTGTATTTACAGTGAAACCCAGGGATAAACTCACCCTTTGTTACCAAGCACTTAAGACCTGACGTGTGGTGTATACACACTGCAGAGTGGGGGTGGTGTGTGTATGTGTGCATTCATGCTTGTGTGTGTATTTCGGACAGCCGTTTGTCTCTTAAACTCAAACAAAAGAGTGCACATCCTCCATCACAGCTTTATCTGTTTATGCCATCAGCTCCTCAGCACCCACATGCCTGTAAACACACCAACCCACCCAATCCGTGTCACACAAACACACGTATTAGAAAAAGCAGGCACCCGGGTGGGGGCCAATACCCTATGTCTTTGAGACTAATAAGTCCTGATGGAAGCGAAGAGTTCGTGTATGTATCACGTCCAAAGTACATTACTGTATACGCGTGATTCCACTGGTCACAGGATTTCTGTAATATTACGGAAAATTAGGGAAAGTCTCAAATTCTCTAAAGAGAAGTCATGGAATATGAAGCACATGCACATTAGTATGTACCATCTTTTAATGTATTAAAATTTCCTGCCATTAATCAGTTTGTCAGATAAGCTGTTACATTTTGGTCAGAGGATCTCTTCATGAAGATCTCTCGTACTTGTGGCCAATATCACTATGAAAGTAAATTAAAATTTTGTACATGAATGTTGAGTTTCAGAAAAGCTGTTCTTTCAACCACCTCAAAATTAATTTAATGCTCATTTAATGATGGAGGGCTGCACTAATAACTAAGCTTTATATAAGATTCTGTAATCTGTTTTTGAATTATCTTTGCATGTACTGTCTAATATGGAGTGTAGGGCACGCACATTAAAATCAGAAAATAAACTGAAGGCAAAAGTCAGACAAAACATCTGCACAATGTACTGATACCTCCCGACAAATTTAACATAATGCTTTAAAATATTTTAGACTTTTTAGATTTTTAGAATATGTCCATATGTGGTTGATTAGACCTTTCTTTATTCAAGAATAGCGAAGGTAGAAGCTATGAAAGTACTGAGAGCTGAACACAGACAGACTTAAAAACAAAACTCACTCTCGTCAATGGCACAGCCACATAGCTGTACTGTACAGACAGGGAGGAGACAGTCACGGTTTTGCCATGGTCGGCCCAGCTACGAAGCAGGACCCCTGCTTTGAGGCTGTAGTGGAAATGCAATTTTTTGGGTCCTACTTCAGAGTTGGTTCTTTCCTAGAACAAGACGCTTGTCAAACACATGAGCCAATGCAGCACTGGCAACCGCCAGTTTTTAAAACCCACAAAAGTTGTGTAAACAACAGCTCAGTACCCTAAAAACCTGGAATAAAATATGAACAAAATTGACCAACAGAAAAGGCCAGGCTTTTGATGCTGTATGTCGCACAGAAGTGACGATGCTATACCAACCGCCAGCCGGCTTACAAGTACATTTGTGTCTGGGTTTGAGATTGACACATTCTGAATGTTGGCATGTCCTTTTACACACCACCAAAGAACAGTTTTCAAAGTCCCTGCTTGCTTCTGTATTGTTACTCAACAATGTGGCTTTGACTGAAAATAAAAGGTAAAAGGATGTCCAGTAGAAAGGAAATATATCTGAAGAAAGTTGTAAGTCTGTAGCTTCATGAATGGAAACCGGCTGGGAAACTGTTTAGGGGCAACAGCATGTAGGTGAGCTATTCACAGAAAGTGTGTCTGTCACATTGACTCATGGTAACAACCTGCTCTCCCAGAAGTTGACCCAGAAGTTGAATAGGAAACCAACACACAACAAAGTGACCCAGCGCAGGGGCTGGTGACCCCGTTAGTGGAGCCCCATCAGTACCCCAGTTTAACTCAGCTGACATTAAAGACAACTGGACGTGATGGAAACTGAATCAAACCCAAGGGCTCCATTCTGAGGCTGCCCGCTTGGCCTTGTTTCCTGGACAGAGCAGAGGAGCAAAACCCATATGTCAGACAATATAATGCCCTGTGAAGCATACCACCCCAGTGGTATCTGACAGAAAGGAGAGAAAGAGCACACATGCACAGACACACAATCTGATTTGAGGACAGGGCTTTCTGGATGGCCGCTCTGGCAGATGAAGAGACAGCAGTGACATAGAGTCTGCTTCCGTCGAAGTGTCTCTGTGTGTGTGTGTGTCCTCATGTCAATGTGTTTACATGCATCTAAAAGTTTATGTGTGCATGTGTGTCCTCGAAGTGCATATACTCTAAGTGCATGTCCACTATGTCTGTGTTTGTTTGTGTATCTCATTGTTACTGGGCTGTACTTGCTCTCTCTACACACACAAACATACACAGATGCTCACACACACTACTGCTGCTAATGCTATCCTCCACTTGTCCCTTGTGCAGATGGCATGTGGGTCTTTCCTCTTCTATTCTGTCCTTGTGGTCCCTTAATACTCTCTGGGCAGGCGGGAGCCATATGTCCGAACTAAACTGACCTAACTCACACCTCACTGTCTATCTGACTGACTGTCTGTCTGTCAGACTGTCTGTCAGCTTACCTGTATGTCTCTCTGCTATTTTCCTACCCTTCTATCAGCTTTCTTCATCCGCTTCAACTCAAAGCCATGCATTTCCTTCCGTACATTTTCTTGTTTCTTGTTTTCTTGTACTGAAACTCTTGAAAAAGTCACAAAGGAACAATTTGACCACAGAGGCATTAAAGTGAGGAAAAATAAAACCAGCTCTGTGTTCAAGCTCCATATGCATCTTTTGTCTCAGCTGTCCTTTGCTGTCTCCGTCTCCCACGGCTTTCATTTCCCAAACAAACAATCCCACTCTCCCTACCCTCCATATGTTGTTCTCTGACCATATTACCTTTTAGGCTCTCTCCCCCCTCATACTCCAAGTGCCCCGCAGTTCACCCATTTCAACCCTGGCACTGGAAAACAGGGAATACAAAGAAATACACCAAGCATCTGAGCAAAGTAGCAGCAGAGATGTAGCAGCATGATGTCACACGTGAGCATAAATGACGTTGCAGCAAAGGTCAAACTAACATTCCCAAAACTCTACTTAGAACTACAGTCTTTAATTTTAGAATCGCTCACTTTTTTTTTAGTAAGGCTGCAAAATCAGAGCATAAACTATCTCCATTTCCTATTTAGCATTTAGCGAGCTGTGCATAAATGCACAACTTGTAAACATGAACAGATTCACTACAAACAACATCGCTCTGATTTATCCCGGTGCAGCTGTCACCAAAAATGGTCAATTCTAATCCTAAAGGAGCGTGGACCATTACAACAGAGATGAGTAGTTAAATATTTATTTATGGAGTTTAATGTGACGGCTTCCTGTCTTAATTGCAAGAAGAAATCTGCTGTTCTCCAGGAGGTCAAGCAGCAATACAAGCAGCATCACACACAGTATGGAGAATGTGGAAGAAGGAAAGTTGTTCTGCTTCAGACTGTAGAAAGTTTGAAATGTTGGCGGATCTCTACCTGATAGCCACTGTCCAATGTCAAGTCCAATGAGGGTATTTTGTTCTTTTATTATTTACTTCTTTAGCTGGGTTGCTATAGTCTCAGTTCCCATGACTTTCCTACAACATTGGAACTGTTGACTCACTCTGACTCTTGCGACTTTCTCGAGAGCTCCTGTCATGTTTTGCATTGTGTCCTACTGTATTTTACTGTATTTTATTTTTTTTTTCCATTTTATTGATGGACAGGAATGTCAGCCTGAAACTTTGGACTGAATTTGGAAATGCTACTTTCAGTATAAAAGAAATATAGTGTTTAAATGTGATTTCCAACTAATATCTCCACTTTCGAGAAGTGTACACCTGTGAGTTTATCACTTATACATACACTTACACTCGATCTCGACAACGATCTAGTTTGTACATCCATGTACACAGCCTACATTAAAGCAATTTACATGTGGAAATATTGCACATATTACTTTAAATACTTTTTTCCCCAATGCTAAATCAGAAACAATGTTGTCAGTGCACCTCACAAGATACATTAGAGGCCCCTGCACCAATCCCCTCCCAGTAACTCTCTCTCACACACACACACACACACACACACACACACACACACACACACACACACACACACACCACACACACACACACACACACACACACACACACACACACACACACACACACAACAAAAAAAAAACACACACCCTCCCCTCCCTATACCCTCCATGTCAGATGTACAGATATGATGCTTACTGGCTGCCCACTGGCCCCATAGAGGCCAGCTGAGAATGGCGATTGGCTGGATGCTGACTGTGTAGTCATGGAAACTGACTTGAGCCCTGTGTGTGACCTCATGAAGGCCACATAAAAGCTGGGTTACAGAAAGAGGGGGAGAGAGAGAAAGTGCCCATGTGTGTTTTGGACAGAGAGAGAGAGACAGAGAGAGAGCATGTGACTGATACTGTTGCTCAACGCAGTTCAATTTGTGTTTGTTTGCCATAGTTTAATCAGAGTCCCTTGAGAACTTACATTCTTAAATACAGTAAGTCTGTATGTCTGTCTGTGTGTGTGTGTGTGTGTGTGTGTGTGTGTGTGTGTGTGTGTGGGGGTGTTGTGTGTGGGGGGGGTATGAAAATAGCAGCTGACCTACAAGTGTCCCCGGAGAGGTGCCTCTGCTGCAGAGTGGATACCCATCAGAGAGACGACCAACACTGGTAAAGAGAAACAGAGAGAGATTTAGCTGGATTTCACACTCCGAGAATCACACTAAAATTGTAAGACACACACACTCGCACACACACCCAAACAAAACACCACTACAGAGACGTTACAGAGAAAATAGGAGAAAAGAGAAGTGTGGAGCAGACGAAACCCTCAAAAATACTGAAGGACAGCGGAGAGCAAAGCACAGATGAACCAACAAGAGGAAAATCAATGACTATAAGAGAGACAAAGACAGGGAAAGAGAGAGATATGTACTGATAAATATGAGAAAGGGAATAAAGAGAAAAAGAACTGAGCAGTGAGGAAGATAGAACTACAGTAGGAGAGATAACAAAGTGTAAAGAGGAAGATTTAGCTACAAAACCACAGATTAATACAGTACGTGCAGGTCAGTAGCTCAACACTTTGAACCACCGAATACACTGTTTCAAAAATAGTTTGTTCTTGTAATGTCTTTTGTTTGAAGCGTGCAGAGCAGAATAAATTCCTTCCTCTGGGGAATCTGCTGAACAGCAGTTCCCTTTTTTTAAGAGGCTGTTTAAAACACTCAACCTTGTCCTCCAGATTTTGAAATTACACTGGTTAATGTTGCTATTTGTTGTGTTGTTATGCATGCTTTCATTGTTCAATTCATTGTGCAGGAGAACAAAAGGAGTTACATCGCTTGCTCTGCCGAAAAGGATCCATTAAAACACGACTTTGCGGGGAAAGTGCTGGTACTTCTTTTTTTTTTTTCCTGATGGTTAGTTGGTGGCAGCACCTAGTCTCTGACTGTGTTTTCAATTAAAGGAATAGGGTTAAAGGTGTGACATTCTGGGAAATGTACTTATTCTATAAGATACAGTACAGAGTTGCCTAGGTCCAGTGTAGCCTGGTCCAGTGCAGTCCAGCCCTGACCAATGCAGTCTAGTCCAGTTTGTCACGGTCTGGTTTAATTCTTTGCAAACCTAGCCAGTCTTGTTTGAGATCCAAAGGAAGAAGCCAAGCAATTAGCTATTAATATATGCATATATAATTCAATATAAAGTAGGTGGAGTAACTTGAAAAGACTCTTATTGTATGTGTCAATGGGTGTGGCCTTCCGCACAATTATACTGCAGATGGAAAGAAAAATGCTCACTGATACACTTTCATGCACAAATTCATCCTCACACACTCAAAAGCGCATCCAGTTACAGACACTGTGAGCATGGACACAGCTAATGAAGCTGAGGACAAAGACGGAACATTGCCTGTCTGAAACACAAACTGTGGGTAAACATCCAGATCAGTGGATCTCCTCTTGGCAGGCCTCAGCTGCCTTTCTGCCACGTCCAGCCGCAAAACTGCCACCCTCCTCCCCTTGTTCCAACCCAACACCTCCCTCTTAAACATCAGCTATTAGATAAACACACACACACACACACACACACACACACACACACACACACACACACACACACACACACACACACACACACACACACACACACACACACACACACACACACACACACACACACACACACACACACACACACACACACACACACACACACAGAGAGAGAGAGTTCCATTTATTACTCTTTAAAAAGGTCACAGTTTTCTCTGGCTAAGCGCCCCGCGCTATTGATAATTTTATGCATAAACAAATGGCAAATTTGTGCCACATAAATATGTATTAGCAATTAATAATGGTGGTGTGTGTGAGGGGACGCCAGGTGCATGCCGAGTGGGGCTGGAGGCTGCTGGTGGAGCCTCTGAGCTGGACTGGTGGCTTTATGCTGCTAGCTGGTCTCCCTCTCCTACACTGTGTCTGCACAATGGCCACTTAGGCCCACACCACCATTAAAAAACACACAAAAAACTGAGACGAGCACAAATACACATGCATACAGTACACCCAAATACTCTGTACACACACATTAGAAGACACAAACAGACATAGTTACAAAATTAACGTATAAACAACACAGGCATACAGCTGAGTAGAGTGAAATATTAACTTCAACACATTTGCAAGTAAATACACATGTGCAAGTATGGCCAGACATACACAGACACACTAAGACAGGGCATTTGAGCCCAGAGGTAGGCCTCAGGGAGGGATGGCACAGCAGGCTTTATATCCTCTCTCTTTCCCACCTGGAGAACAGTACATCCATTACATTTCACACACCAGTGAGAGTAAAGTAGGACCAAACACAGGCTTCAGAAATCAGCTGGGGGTCAAGCAAAATAGGCCACTGATTGTGTTTGCACACCATTTTGAGTCATTGGCTTGGTGGATCGTATATATATTTTCATCAAGCAGCTTTAATCACATACAAGTGATACTGCTTCAGTTGTTGGTCAGTTTTATAATTATATGGAGACAGAGGTAGCCCTGTCTGGGACTGTATCATCCACTGCAGGAGAGGCAGTGTTAAACAGGCAGCTGTGTAATACTGCAAAAGTGTAGAATACAAAGTTTATTGAGCTCTAATTCTAAGATTTACTGAGTAAAGTGTTGCCAAATTCTTTTAAATTAGGATGCTTTTTTAAATGCATAATCTCTTAATGTGAGGTATTCATTCACCCTGCCAGCCACACTGGATGGTCAGCACAGTGGTTTTCTTCCAAAATATGTGAGTATAAATTGTTTTGGTGTGACGAGGGAATGAAGAGTTTCTGAGCTGTAATGAGGTTCATCATTGATCCAGATAATTTTGGGGTGATTAATAAAGGATTTGCTTCTAGATCAGAATGAATGACTTTGGAAAATAATGTAAAAAAAATGGCAGACCATTAGGGTTACATTTAGAACACATGATAAAACATAAATGCGTTTTGAATGTGGATTGGTTCATACTCCATAAAACCGCAAGATTGGATTTCTGGACTGTTGATGTGTGCTAATGCTGGGAAATAGGACAATATTAATTAGGTAATGCGGGGGGGGGTGTTTACTTACCGACACTGACACATTTAGTTGATGCTATACTCTGAGAATATACAGAGTAGGGTGTCACTTTAGGGTGACACATGTCATAGCATAGTAACCTTTTGGCAGTGTGGCTTTTTAAAGGGTTCCCTGTGGAGTTTTAGTAGCTCTAGTAGATCTATGGAGCTGTTTTTCTTTGAATGGGTCCCCATTCTGTCTGTGTCCTGCACACAAGCACACATTCCTGCCAATGGTTTCACACTATTCCACTGATCTACAGGTGGCGGTAACGGTAACATGCCAAAATATGCAGCAATGCGCCAGCAAAGAAGAAGAAGACTGCAAGCCAGTAAACATGGATGTAAACAATGATGGACTGACTTGAAATACAGCCTTGCAAATGTTTTAAGAGAAAGGACATGCACTCAATACATTTGTTTGACCTCATGGATACACACATGTTTTGGTAACACTGAATGTAAATGTAACCTTTGTTTACAAGAAAAGTCCAGTTTTCAGCACAATCACGCATTACCTAATGTACAATAACAATCAGTCAGATAGACTTAGCATTCATTAAATAAATACAGGAAACATGTGCTAGTCATACAACAGTAATTAGATCCAAGAACCCGCTGGCCGAGTCTGAACTGAACCTTTAAAGCAGATAGCCAGTTGCATGTCAGTAACTACTGTAGAAGAGAGGAAGCAAATTATTAAAATACTGTGTAAACCTGATTAACATATTTGACCTCAGTTGCTTTTAGGACGGCAAAGCCAGCAAGGGATATTTAAAAAAATATTGTGCAGTAGTTGCAGAGGCTGTGTGTGTCCGTTTGTGTCCGTTTGTGTGTGTGTGTGTGTGTGTGTGTGTGTGTGTGTGTGTGTGTGTGTGTGTGTGTGTGTGTGTGTGTGTGTTATGTTGTCCGTCTGGCGAGGTGAGAGCAGGCTGGCTCCCCTGTAGAGCACCATCACTCTGCTTGGCTAAACACAATCACACAACCTCAACCCAACTCAAAAGGCCCACTGAGAGACGGGGAGAGAGAGGCAGATAGAGGCAGAGAGAGGCAGAGAGAGAGCAGGGAGCCTACGTGGACATATATGTGTGTGTGTGTGTGTGTGTGTGTGTGTGTGTGTGTGTGTGTGTGTGTGTGTGTGTGTGTGTGTGTTTGTGTGTGTTTGTGTCCCCTATATGCACTTGCAGGACAAAAGGCAGCCCCATCTGTTCCATTGTCACAGGGTTTTTAATACGGATCAGATAAACATGACATTTGGGATGAGTGGCCAAGCTCACATTCTAAACACTGACATCAGACCCTTCTCTACAGTACTAGTCTGTGCGTGTGTGTGTGTGTGTGTGTGTGTGTGTGTGGGGGGGGGGTATTTAGGCGCTTTTCATGTGTGTCTGTATATATCTTGTGTTTGTTATTTTTAATCGAACGCTAATTCAATCCTCTGTGTGTGTGTGTGTGTGTGTGTGTGTGTGTGTGTGTGTGTGTGTGTGTGTGTGCATGTATTAGTTGTATAACCTGCTCCCATTCTCAGAGGTGCAGGGCAGGGCTGACACACTGGATCTGTAGCGGCTGTGGGAGGATTAGCGGCCCATTGGCCTAATCAGAGGAGGTAATCAGACTATTCTCTATCATGACAACAATCAGCCGAGAGAGACACACATCTGCCTATTGAGCTCAGCTCTAATGCCATAATAGTGATGAAACATCTGGTCATTTGGGGCTCAATGCAATCAAGAAGAGGGATTGGGACAGTTGCAGATGTCAAACCTATAGCAATTATCTGTTTTAGGCAACAGAGATGCAGACAGAGGGACACGCACGACACTCAGGTTCACAGGCTGCCCTGCTTCTGTAACAATAAGCTCACTCTACGAGAAACATGTCAGCGGACCTGAAGAGGGAACACATTTCATTTCCATCATTCAAAAAACATTCTGAACTTTTAATTCTTAAGATGGACAAACAAAAGTCTTGACTGCATAATGTTTGTGTTCTTATGTCATTTTCTGACCATACATGATCATGGCCTACCTTCATTTTAATTATGACTCTTAAAAAGAAAAAAGAAAAA